GGAAAATCCGGACGTATGGTAACCCTAGCGGAGTCGACAGGAGAGTGTTGGCCATCCACTTACCGCAGTGAAGACACCGCGGTAAGTAGATCTAAGTACGTCAACTTCAGCTATGTTATTTATGTAGCTGAAGTTGCGTAACTTAGATCAATCCCCCCCCCCACCTAGTGTAGGCCAGCCCTCAGCTATTACTATATGGTAACCGCTGGAAAATGATGAATATTTAAATGGCAACCACAATAATTCCCTCAATATATTTTAGTGAAAGTTCCAATGTCACATGATTTCACCATTATAAGTTCCTTCCAACTCCCTTTATCAGCAATTTATTAAAGCTTTTTAAAATTATCTTTTTATACACCTTCGTCCAATGACCGCAATTTAGGTAAATACAGTGCTCACAACAGCTTCCCCAGCAGTTACCTACCTATAATGTATGAATAACTGTGGTATGTCCCAGAGAGCTCAGATACTATATTTGTCATTAACTGCAGTGTTTTAAGTACCAACCTCTGCATATTAACTGTAAATTTTTAAACTCTTGTAATGGTCTCCGAGGGATAGTCCCCATTTGATGAGTGCTCAATTGCCATTAATGCTGAAGGAAGGACAGATCAGCCCATTACGTAGTGGTATGACCATGAGGAAGAACAAATCAGTTACAACAGAAGAAGACAGGTGATAGGATATTTGTTTTGCAGTCCCACCCTAAAGAGCTGAGGTTAGCCTTGTACGCTCATCAAGAGGAGAATTCACTAATTTTGAAGTATTATTAAAAACCTGATCAGGGTCTCCATACTCACCCAAAACTTCTGTTAGACTTGATCAGGCTCTAAGTAACTATCTGGCTCTAAATATCAAGAGACAGGTCTGAACCAAAACCAGGCAGCTGAACACTTTTGAATTTCTGGGATGTTCAAAATTCAAACTGTCATCTGGATCACAGTTCTGAGGCACGATCCAATATCTGTTAATAATAGGGGATGAATAGGGCCCACAGGTAAATCTGAGAATTAGGGAGAACAGCCCACATATTAATATTCAGCTGTTTAAAGTTTGGGGAAAGGTTAAATAAATTTTACTTGCAAATTAGAACTGGATTCTTGCTTCCCCTAATCTTCAGTTCCCATGCATGCCACGCTACTGAGATCCAAAGGCTTTACTAATTGAAGAATACTCATTTTGCATGATTTGAAAGAGAGAGAGAGAGAGAGAGAGAACGAGAACACAAATTAAATTATGCTTAAGGTCAGTGCCCAGTATTTGTAACATTGAGAATAGTTACCTATAGAATATAGATAAGTAAGAAAGAGCTTGCAAAGTTATTACGTGATACATTTTCATGATGATTTCCCTTGTACACTGACATAGGCCTGTCACGCTTTGCCATAAAACATATAGTAAACTAAGCAATAATTATGAGGATTGGGGCAGAATACAAAGATGCTGACTCAATGCATAGTGTTTTAGGACTAGTGTACTAGATGTGAGAAATGAGAGTGAATAATAGCAGAAAAAATGAACAATAAAACGCACAACATGATAGAGCCTGCATTCCCTTAAGATATTTAATTGTTACCCTTATTTTTAACACTTTGCTCTTTTTTGCACCATAAAAAACAAACAAACATAAAGCTTACTTTGTTTTAAACACACTTAAAAGATAAAACAACGAGGAGTCCTTGTGGCACCTTAGAGACTAACAAATTTATTTGGGCATAAGCTTTCGTGGGTTAAAACCCACTTCATCAGATGCCTGGAGTGAAAAATACAGTAAGCAGTATATATATGAAATACTGCCCATCTTTTCATATATATACACTGCTTACTGTATCTTTCACTCCATGCATCTGATGAAATGGGTTTTGGCCCACGAAAGCTTATGCTCAAATAAATCTGTTAGTCTCTAAGGTGCCACAAGTACTCCTGTAGTCCATTCTATATGCATCCGAAGAAGTGGGCTGTAGTCCACGAAAGCTTATGCTCTAATAAATCTGTTAGTCTCTAAGGTGCCACAAGTACTCCTGTAGTCCATTCTATATGCATCCGAAGAAGTGGGCTGTAGTCCACGAAAGCTTATGCTCTAATAAATCTGTT